GAAGTCCTTGGGGTTGGAGGTTAGTGGGGAGGACAATGAAGAACTAACCACTGATGAGCTGCTAGATCATCTTCAACAGCAAGAGGCCACACCTGAGGAAACTGCTTCGGAGGAGGGGATAGAGAAATTGAAGAAGTTGCCTACTTCAAAGGTTAAGGAAATGTGTGCAATGTGGCTTAAAGTGCAAACCTTTTATGATGACAATCACCCTAACAGCTATTGCAAGCCGTGCTGGTGACTATTACACTGACAATGTTGTGAAACACTTTAGTAATGTCATAAAGGAACAGGAGGTACATGGCTCTATGGACAGATATGTTGTGCGACAGAAGTCCAGTGACTCTCAAGCTGGTCCTAGTGGCATTAAAAGAAGAAGGGAAGTAACCCCGGAAAAGGACTTGCTACCTCAAGTCCTAATGGAAGGGGATTCCCCTTCTAAACACTAACACCATCCACTCTCCCCCCTCCTCCCATCCCATCAATCATCACCAGATCTTCATTAAAGGTAAGTGTCAATTATTCTATTGTTATTTTTGTTATTGTTATTATTCTATTGCATTAAACTTAATATTTCATGTGGTAAAATAATTTTTTTCATACTTTTGGGAGTCTTGCACGGATTAATTTGATTTCCATTATTTCTTATGAGGAAAATTTATTCGCTTTTCGATATTTTCGGTATTCGATGAGCTCTCAGGAACGGATTAATATCGAATACCGGGGGTCCACTGTATTTCTGTTTCTTTCATGTCACTCAGTTTAGCTGCAATTAAACAACTGCAGGATATTTTCACTCATATGAGTCACATACAATACGTAAACTGGAGCTCGCTCGCTGTGTTGGCTTTTTACTCACTGTTTCGATGCATACAAGTGGATGTCTGCGTCTAGGACTGCATATTAATTTGTGATGGTTTTTCTTACGTTTTAAAAAAATAATTTTATATAAAATCATAAAATAAAAAACAAACATGAAGTGTTAGGTCATGTAGTGTTAGGTCATGTAGTATTAGGTTATAATAATAATAATAATAATAATAATAATAATAATAATAATAATAATAATAATAATATCTTTATTTCTACAACAACATGTACAAGGTAAACAGGCCTAGCTGACATCAATAACATACTACTATACAGAAAGCCTCTTGTTATGCTCTCAGAGCATTTTGGGCAAATTAGGTCAGTTTTGTCCCAGGATGCAGCCCACATCAGTTGACTAGCTCCCAGGTACCCATTTTACTAATGGGTGAACATAAGACAACCAGTGTAAAGAAACACGCCCAATGTTTCTACCCTCGCTTGGATTCGATCCCAGACCCTCGCCATGTGAAGCAAGAGTTTTAGCCACCAGGCCACGGGGCACCATTAGGTCAGTTCAAGTTAGGTTATGGATTTGCTAAGTATGTTTATTTAGGTACAGGTACACGTAAGCCCTGCTTCACAAATTCAGATGACTACAATTACCATACATAGTAACATATATGTAAATTACCCACCAGGATGCCCCCCCCCAAAAAAAAAAAAAGTCAGATGAAGTAATTTATTTCCATTAGGATCTTTGTAACTAAATTTATAAGTGAGAGAACTCTTGACCAGAAGGAAAATATGGTAGACTTCTCCAAATCAATCACTGACTTGGTAATGTCAGTGACTTGGTAATGTCAGTGATGGTAATGTCAGTGACTTGGTAATGTCAGTGACTTGGTAATGTCAATGATGGTAATGTCAGTGACTTGGTAATGTCAGTGACTTGGTAATGTCAGTGATGGTAATGTCAGTGACTTGGTAATGTCAGTGACTTGGTAATGTCAGTGATGGTAATGTCAGTGACTTGGTAATGTCAGTGACTTGCTAATGTCAGTGACTTGGTAATGTCAGGACCTTGGTAATGTCAGTGACTTGTTAATGTCAGTAACTTGGTAATGTCAGTGACTTGGTAATGTCAGTGACTTGATAATGTCAGTAACTTGGTAATGTCAGTAACTTGGTAATGTCAGTAACTTGGTAATGTCAGTAACTTGGTAATGTCAGTGACTTGGTAATGTCAGTGACTTGATAATGTCAGTAACTTGGTAATGTCAGTAACTTGGTAATGTCAGTAACTTGGTAATGTCAGTGACTTGGTAATGTCAGTGACTTGGTAATGTCAGTGACTTGGTAATGTCAGTGACTTGTTAATGTCAGTAACTTGGTAATGTCAGTAACTTGGTAATGTCAGTGACTTGGTAATGTCAGTGACTTGTTAATGTCAGTAACTTGGTAATGTCAGTAACTTGGTAATGTCAGTGACTTGATAATGTCAGTAACTTGGTAATGTCAGTAACTTGGTAATGTCAGTAACTTGGTAATGTCAGTAACTTGGTAATGTCAGTGACTTGGTAATGTCAGTGACTTGGTAATGTCAGTGACTTGGTAATGCCAGTGACTTGGTAATGTCAGTAACTTGGTAATGTCAGTGACTTAATAATGTCAGTAACTTGGTAATGTCAGTGACTTGGTAATGTCAGTAACTTGGTAATGTCAGTAACTTGGTAATGTCAGTGACTTGGTAATGCCAGTGACTTGGTAATGTCAGTAACTTGGTAATGTCAGTGACTTGATAATGTCAGTAACTTGGTAATGTCAGTGACTTGGTAATGTCAGTAACTTGGTAATGTCAGTAACTTGGTAATGTCAGTGACTTGGTAATGTCAGTGACTTGGTAATGTAAGTGACTTGCTAATGTCAGTAACTTGGTAATGTCAGTGACTTGGTAATGTCAGTGACTTGGTAATGTCAGGACCTTGGTAATGTCAGTGACTTGCTAATGTCAGTAACTTGGTAATGTCAGTGACTTGGTAATGTCAGTAACTTGGTAATGTCAGTGACTTGATAATGTCAGTAACTTGGTAATGTCAGTGACTTGGTAATGTCAGTAACTTGGTAATGTCAGTGACTTGCTAATGTCAGTAACTTGGTAATGTCAGTAACTTGGTAATGTCAGTAACTTGGTAATGTCAGTTGACTTGATAATGTCAGTAACTTGGTAATGTCAGTGACTTGGTAATGTCAGTGACTTGGTAATGTCAGTGACTTGGTAATGTCAGTGACTTGGTAATGTCAGTGACTTGGTAATGTCAGTAACTTGGTAATGTCAGTAACTTGGTAATGTCAGTAACTTGGTAATGTCAGTAACTTGGTAATGTCAGTGACTTGGTAATGTCAGTGACTTGGTAATGTCAGTGACTTGTAATGTCAGTGACTTGTAATGTCAGTAACTTGGTAATGTCAATAACTTGGTAATGTCAGTAACTTGGTAATGTCAGTGACTTGGTAATGTCAGTGACTTGGTAATGTCAGTGACTTGGTAATGTCAGTAACTTGGTAATGTCAGTAACTTGGTAATGTTAATAACTTGGTAATGTCAGTGACTTGGTAATGTCAGTAACTTGGTAATGTCAGTGACTTGGTAATGTAAGTGACCTGGTAATGTCAGTGACTTGATAATGTCAGTAACTTGGTAATGTCAGTGACTTGGTAATGTCAGTGACTTGGTAATGTCAGTGACTTGGTAATGTCAGTGACTTGGTAATGTCAATAACTTGGTAATGTCAGTAACTTGGTAATGTCAGTGACTTGGTAATGTCAGTGACTTGGTAATGTCAGTGACTTGGTAATGTCAGTAACTTGGTAATGTCAGTAACTTGGTAATGTTAATAACTTGGTAATGTCAGTGACTTGGTAATGTCAGTGACTTGGTAATGTCAGTGACTTGGTAATGTCAGTGACTTGGTAATGTCAGTGACTTTGTAATGTCAGTGACTTGGTAATGTTAGTGACTTGGTAATGTCAGTGACTTGGTAATGTCAGTGACTTGGTAATGTCAGTTACTTGGTAATGTCAGTGACTTGGTAATGTCAGTGACTTGGTAATGTCAGTGACTTGGTAATGTCAGTGACTTGGTAATGTCAGTGACTTGGTAATGTCAATGACTTGGTAATGTCAGTGACTTGGTAATGTCAGTGACTTGGTAATGTCAGTGACTTGGTAATGTCAGTAACTTGGTAATGTCAGTGACTTGGTAATGTCAGTGACTTGGTAATGTCAGTAACTTGGTAATGTCAGTAACTTGGTAATGTTAATAACTTGGTAATGTCAGTGACTTGGTAATGTCAGTAACTTGGTAATGTCAGTGACTTGGTAATGTAAGTGACCTGGTAATGTCAGAGACTTGATAATGTCAGTAACTTGGTAATGTCAGTTACTTGGTAATGTCAGTGACTTGGTAATGTCAGTGACTTGGTAATGTCAGTGACTTGGTAATGTCAGTGACTTGGTAATGTCAGTGACTTGGTAATGTCAGTGACTTGGTAATGTCAGTGACTTGGTAATGTCAGTAACTTGGTAATGTCAGTAACTTGGTAATGTCAATAACTTGGTAATGTCAGTAACTTGGTAATGTCAGTAACTTGGTAACGTCAGTGACTTGGTAATATCACTGAGATCACCAATAAATATAATGAAAGGGAACTTTGTTCTTGGATACAGTCATATATTAACATATAATATTGTCCAAGGTAAACAGGACTTATCTGCTTCATTTTGTTGCATAAATAATTTTTAAAATCCTGGAGTAAATGATAGGTAAAGATCGGTAGTAAAGTTGTATTGTTACATTCATGTAAAAGGAGTGTTAAACATGTATAGGTCATACAGAACTCTGGGAAACAGGAGACAACCAGGTTCAATCCAGGAAAAATGGGTATTTGTCCAATTCCTTGGATCAATAGCTCTTCAACCGCATCTTGTGTGTGGAAGGCAGCACCAATTCCCTGGGTCAAGTCCTTCACAAATATTAACACACCTCCCTCAAAGTTAAGGAACTATTATTATTATTATTATTATTATTATTATTATTAAAAAGAAGGGATAAACCTAAGGAACTATTGGTCTCTTTCTTACCATATTTATTAGATACTCACAAGAAATATTAATATCTCTGGGTTCCTACATACCTCGTAAGTCAAATTTCCAGTGGTAGTTACTCCAAGATTATATATATTTGGATAATTTCCAGAAATGTAAAGTTCTTGCTGGTCATAGCACCACCACCACCATGTTGTTGTTATTGTGAGTTGTTAAGGTTCACCAAAACTTCCACCTTACTGAACACAACTAACACTCACTCACAACAATGTTCTTCAAATTCAAATTCAAATGTTTATTTCTCTGTAGAGATTACAATGTGGGGTTTACATATTATAAAATATTGGTTACAATGTGGGGTTTACATATTATAAAATACCTCAGGTATATCAGCATCTCACAACAATGTTCCCCATATGTCTCAAAACAATGTTCTTCATATATTTATTTATTTTTTATTTATTTATTTATTAATTTGAACAGATATAAGCTGGGAAGATATACTAAGCAACACAGACCCCAACTTATGCCTAGAATAGATTAACGTGGTGGCACTCGATGTATGCACAAGACTTATTCCTCTAAGAAAAAGGAGGAGTAGATGTAAAATAGAAAGAGACAGGCGCTCTCTTTACAGGCGACGGAAAAGAATAACAGAGCGGCTAAAAGAGGTCAATCTATCTGAAATGCGTAGGGAGACACTGGTCAGAGAAATAGCAAACATCGAACTTAAGCTAAAGGAATCTTATAGGAGTCAGGAATCGCGGGAAGAACTAAAAGTCATAAATGAAATCGAAAGAAACCCAAAGTATTTCTTCTCCTATGCCAAATCAAAGTCGAGAACAACGTCCAGTATTGGGCCCTTACTTAAACAAGATGGGTCCTACACAGATGACAGCAAGGAAATGAGTGAGCTACTCAAGTCCCAATATGACTCAGTTTTTAGCAAGTCACTAACCAGACTGAGAGTCAAAGATCAAAATTAATTTTTTATGAGAGAGCCACAGAATTCGGTTAATACAAGCCTATCTGATGTTATCCTGAAGCCAAATGACTTCGAACAGGCGATAAATGACATGCCCATGCACTCTGCCCCAGGGCCAGACTCATGGAACTCCGTGTTCATCAAGAACTGCAAGAAGCCCCTATCACGAGCCTTTACCATCCTATGGAGAGGGAGCATGGACACAGGGGTCGTCCCACAGTTACTAAAAACAACAGACATAGCCCCACTCCACAAAGTGGGCAGTAAAGCAACAGCAAAGAACTACAGACCGATAGCACTAACATCCCATATCATAAAAATCTTTGAAAGAGTCCTAAGAAGCAAGATCACCACCCATCTAGAAACCCATCATTTACATAACCCAGGGCAACATGGGTTTAGAACAGGTTGCTCCTGTCTGTCTCAACTATTGGATCACTACGACAAGGTCCTAGATGCACTAGAAGACAAAAAGAATGCAGATGTAATATATACAGACTTTGCAAAAGCTTTCGACAAGTGTGACCATGGCGTAATAGCGCACAAAATGCGTGCTAAAGGAATAACAGGAAAAGTCGGTCGATGGATCTATAATTTCCTCACTAACAGAACACGGAGAATAGTAGTCAACAGAGTAAAGTCCGAGGCAGGCACGGTGAAAAGCTCTGTTCCACAAGGCACAGTACTCGCTCCCATCTTATTCCTCATCCTCATATCTGACATAGACAAGGATGTCAGCCACAGCACCGTGTCTTCCTTTGCAGATGACACCCGAATCTGCATGACAGTGTCTTCCATTGCAGACACTGCAAGGCTCCAGGCGGACATCAACCAAATCTTTCAGTGGGCTGCAGAAAACAATATGAAGTTCAACGATGAGAAATTTCAATTACTCAGATATGGTAAACACGAGGAAATTAAATCTTCATCAGAGTACAAAACAAATTCTGGCCACAAAATAGAGCGAAACACCAATGTCAAAGACCTGGGAGTGATCATGTCGGAGGATCTCACCTTCAAGGACCATAACATTGTATCGATCGCATCTGCTAGAAAAATGACAGGATGGATAATGAGAACCTTCAAAACGAGGGATGCCAAACTCATGATGACACTCTTCAGGTCACTTGTTCTATCTAGGCTGGAATATTGCTGCACACTAACAGCACCTTTCAAGGCAGGTGAAATTGCTGACCTAGAAAATGTACAGAGAACCTTCACGGCGCACATAACGGAGATAAAACACCTCAATTACTGGGAGCGCTTGAGGTTCCTGAGCCTGTATTCCCTGGAACGCAGGCGGGAGAGATACATGATTATATACACCTGGAAAATCCTAGAGGGACTAGTACCGAACTTGCACACGAAAATCACTCACTACGAAAGCAAAAGACTTGGCAGACGATGCACCATCCCCCCAATGAAAAGCAGGGGTGTCACTAGCACGTTAAGAGACCATACAATAAGTGTCAGGGGACCGAGACTGTTCAACTGCCTCCCAGCACACATAAGGGGGATTACCAACAGACCCCTGGCAGTCTTCAAGCTGGCACTGGACAAGCACCTAAAGTCAGTTCCTGATCATCCGGGCTGTGGCTCGTACCTGGAGTTTACCTGGAGAGAGTTTCGGGGGTCAACGCCCCCGCGGCCCGGTCTGTGACCAGGCCTCCTGGTGGATCAGCGCCTGATCAACCAGGCTGTTGCTGCTGGCTGCACGCAAACCAACGTACGAGCCACAGCCCGGCTGATCAGGAACTGCCTTTAGGTGCTTGTCCAGTGCCAGCTTGAAGACTGCCAGGGGTCTGTTGGTAATCCCCCTTATGTGTGCTGGGAGGCAGTTGAACAGTCTCGGGCCCCTGACACTTATTGTATGGTCTCTTAACGTGCTAGTGACACCCCTGCTTTTCATTGGGGGGATGTTGCATCGTCTGCCAAGTCTTTTGCTTTCGTAGTGAGTGATTTTCGTGTGCAAGTTCGGTACTAGTCCCTCTAGGATTTTCCAGGTGTATATAATCATGTATCTCTCCCTCCTGCGTTCCAGGGAATACAGGTTTAGAAACCTCAAGCGCTCCCAGTAATTGAGGTGTTTTATCTCGTTATGCGCGCCGTGAAAGTTCTCTGTACATTTTCTAGGTCGGCAATTTCACCTGCCTTGAAAGGTGCTGTTAGAGTGCAGCAATATTCCAGCTAGATAGAACAAGTGACCTGAAGAGTGTCATCATGGGCTTGGCCTCCCTAGTTTTGAAGGTTCTCATTATCCATCCTGTCATTTTTCTAGCAGATGCGATTGATACAATGTTATGGTCCTTGAAGGTGAGATCCTCCGACATAATCACTCCCAGGTCTTTGACGTTGGTGTTTCGCTCTATTTTGTGGCCAGAATTTGTTTTGTACTCTGATGAAGATTTAATTTCCTCATGTTTACCATATCTGAGTAATTGAAATTTCTCATCGTTGAACTTCATATTGTTTTCTGCAGCCCACTGAAAGATTTGGTACGTTGGTTTGCGTGCAGCCAGCAGTAACAGCCTGGTTGATCAGGCTCTGATCCACCAGGAGGCCTGGTCACAGACCGGGCCGCGGGGGCGTTGACCCCCGGAACTCTCTCCAGGTAAACTCCAGGTACAAAGTTATTACAGTGCAACATGCCAAAGCCCCTTGTATGCAGAGCATTATGAGCAGGCTTAAAATTAACTTAAGATTAACTAAGCAATGATATATTCAGTGGTAAAAACATTATTGTATACAGATAACAATTTAGCACAAATGAGTATTACAAAGATAGGTCATATGGTCATTTACTGTGTTGTTGAGCATTCAGTAGAATGGAGTATTCTGTTAGGTAATGTAATTAAAAAATAAAGTTTGATTGGGTCACAGGTTAGACATTTATGAGATACAATAATGAGAAACATTTACGAGATACAATTTATGAGATACAATTATTCAGTATTTATTTAGTTGTCAGTATCTCGCAAGTTACAGACCTTTCAAGGAAGTTACAATGGATAAACATATATACAAGAGAATATATATACGTATGAAATATATACATGGTGTAGTCCACACTGACTGATAAGCGAGCGCTAACTAAGTACAAAGTGGTGGAGCACTGACACCCATTACATTGAGTAATCAACAAAGGAGTCAGACAAGTCAGGGGTTATGTCAATGTCACAGAAATTTACTTGGTCGTAGACCATAAGAATGTTGCTGGACAGGAAGGCTATCAGTTGTTGGACAGGAAGGCAATGGGCCATCGGTTGTGTCAGCAGATGTAGGAGTACCAGTAAGGTTATTACTAGTGTCATTTGTGTGCTGGTGCTGTTGCAACACACGTTCCTCCAGTTTTGCTTCGGCTTGAACATTGTCATTGTACTTCATGTGGTCAAAGTGAGTCTCCCACCGGCAATCTCCTTCACCTCGAACTTGTTGCCATAAAGCTGTCTGAGGACATGGTAAGGACTGACGAATTTGGAAATGAGCTTATACTTATCAGGGTCTTGAGTGGCATTTTGCAACATGACTTTGCAACCTAGTACCACCTTTCCTTAGCAATTGCATTACGACTAGTAGTAAACTTGTATGTTGCTTTAAGAGTTTCCCACATTCTCTGAAAGATGAGCTGGGAAGTCCCCATCTTAGTGACACTGAAACTGTCAGGATCATAGACAGGTTAAGGCAAAGCAAATAAAATTTTGAAAGGTAAATGCTTCTCATAGCTATATAAAGCGAAATAAGGTGTGTCAACATTTGAGATGTAGGAAGAGTTAAGGAATACATTGTCCCATGTGGTACAACTATCATTCCAAGTTGTAACACATGGGAAGATGCCATTCCAGATGTACAGAGTACCCTAAAGTCTTCCTACAACAGTCCCAGGGTTATGCGATTCGTTCACTCAAGAAGGTCGTTAATTGTTCGAAGGCGTGCGGATTTGGGAGCTTTGTGAATGCTGAACATACAACTGTCGAAAATTACATTTATCTGTATGTAACTGATTATGTACATAACAGTAGATAACAAAGATAATTATTATTTATCAATGTTACATAGACAAGTAGGAATTTGGGACACCTAGGTCGCAAAAAATGTCCCCCTTCGATACCTACCACTGTCATATCCACAAGTTGCTCTGGACCTATTAATTATAAATGAAATATACATCACCAGGAATACTGGTAAATATATAAATTTGTGGACTGTATATTAAAATTAAAAAATGATGTT